TGTGTGACCAATTTTCTGCAGCCAATATAAACTGAATGTCTCTATTAATTCAGTTAACACTCTATGCAAAAGTGTGAGTGTGTAGAATCAAGGTGAACGACATATACTCATCGTGTCTACATTCTAACCAAAGACTGTGTATAAAATGTGGACGGAGTCACCGTGGCGTCTCCCATTGGTCTGTGGACTGCCATTTTGAAGCCTTGAGTTTGGCGTTTTGGTCGTCCCCATTTTGCAACCAAAAGTGACGCGAGAGGGGGGAGCTAAGTGAAGTGAAAACACACTGTGAAAGGGTTAAAACACAGATGACTCCCACACCAGACAACGGCGTGGCAGCGACCTGTCAATCACAAGGTAGCCCCGCCCTTAAGCATATCCTTATTTATGATCTACTTGACTCTAAATGGACCATAATTTACCAAATGAACGTCATGCTGTATTGAAGAAGACTTGAAACTAGAGATTGAGACCATAAACTCATGTTTACAATGTTTACTGAGGGAATAAATCAAGAGAGAAGTAGTCATTTTCTCATCGACTTCTATACAACCAGAGGAGTCGCCCCCTGGTGGACACTAGAGAGAATGCAGCTTTAAAGAACTTTTCACTTTTCAGAACTTGAGGTTGCCGCCTGATTCTAACAAAACCACCTTCTGTATGTCACCGACTCTGCGTTATGTGACAAGCATGCAGGGAAATCTTTTTATCTGCTACAACAAACTAATTCAAAACAGAACAGAGAAGGAGATGCTTTACAGCCATTAACACACTTGAAGCTGGATGTAAACTCTCCCACTAGGTGGCATGGTGAGGCACTTGGATACTCCGCTGCTGCTTTTACTAATTATGTGATGTTAGGCCATTTGTCTCTATCACATGCAGTCTCTTTCTTTTCTGCTCTCGTGCCATTGGCCTCTTGGCTCCTGAGTTGCCGTCTTTTACCTCCACTCTTTCTCATTTTGTCTCTGGCTTCTCTATTCTTTCGTTGCCTCTTTTTATTTCTTCCTCCCCTTCTCACCCCTTGTCCTTCCCCTTTGTGTGATGAAAAAGTGCAGTCTTGGCTTTTCAGTCTCATATCAAATGCTCATATACGTAAAGGGAGAGAGAGACAAAGATGCCAGCCAGTGTTGCACTGTGTGTGTGTGTGTTTGCCAGGAGAACATTGCATTGAAGCACCAGTGAACATCTGGCCCATGTGCCAATGATTGGTTGGGGAAGTTCCTCAGGATATAACACTTGAAAATGTCTTGGCATGTTCGCGACAACAGCAGTGCAGTTTGTGCAGTTACTCTGTGCGTGTGTGACGACTGTATTTAATATGTGTGTGAACGTGCACTGGTAAGTGATTATATTTGTGATGCGTGTCTGTGAGGGATGATTGTATTAAATGTGTGAGGAAACTCATGTGTGAGTGAGTTTAAGGTGATTGTATTGGTATGCTGGTGTGTGTGTGTGGTGATTGTACAGTACTTGTGTGTTTGTGTTGGGAGCTTTTACTCTCCACCATTAGCTCTAAACCCTTTTTTTGAACAGGCGGCTGATTCTTCCCTTGATTACTATTTAGACTTCTACTCGTTTACCGAGCGCCATCTCTCCTTTGTTTTATCTCTTTGTTTATACCTTCTGCTAGCTCGTTATTCCTCTTTCTCTGGAATGATTTCATTTTCTTTGCTGGTTCCTGACGGTGCTACTTCGGTTCAACCCGAGGCCAGTAGAAGTTGTTTTTAAACTTTTACCTGTGTTCTTGCTGTCTTCCAAAACCACCTTTCCTTTTGTTCTCTTCTGTTCTCCTGTGCTTTGCGACTCTCACACCCTGCTCACCTGGTACGCTCTCTGATAGGCTACGCATGCATGCTTCTGTACGCCGCTGATCGCACATGTGTCTGTCGTGTGGGCGTGTGCCCCTAAAGGAGGCGGTGGCCCTCATCGGAGACGCCCGCCCGGTGGTGGCGGCGGGCGGTGGGCCGGGGAAGATGCGGCAGGGTTGTTAAAAGTGTTGTTAAGAGAGCGGCTGGCAGCTGTTCCTGACAGGTTGGGGATGGAAGGACAGATGGTGTTTGATTAGCGAACAGACCGCTGATGGAAGGAGGGATGGAAGGAGGAGGAAATTGATATCAGTTAGGAGGCAGGGAGAAAGGAAGGATGGATACTTTGACTTAAGGATAGATGGATGGATGATAAATGCATTATGAAGAGGAAAAATAGTATGACTGAATGGATGCTGAGATGATTGTTAAAACTGAAGAACAGATGCATAACTTTATGACACATAGAGATTGATGGAAGGATAGATGGTTGTCTTTATGGCTGAAAAGTGAAGGATTTACTGTATAAGAGAATGAAATAGGTGGAGTGGGAGCATGACCTGATGGAGAAACGAAGGGATGCAGAGCGTGCTGAGAGAAGGAAGTGAAAACGCTGTCGGGGCAGCTGCTCCAAACAACAATTAGCTTCATCCACCTGGGTGCCATCTTAAAGAACTGATGCAAATAAACCTGCAGCGCTGGCTGATTAAAGTCTGTTCAACAAGCTAACAGTGATCGTTGCAGCCAGCGATGGTCCGATTCAATCAGTCGTTTATTTGAATGATGTGTTAAAGTTGATGTGTTGAAATGAGTGATAATTAGACCCGAGTTCATCTCTCCAACAGGTCAGTCTGAGGTTCTACTTACACAGCTGGAAAACACAATGAAAACGATATCAAACAGCGATGAGAGACGCAACTATGAATTCTGCTGTCGTGCAGCAGAAAGAAAGTCTAGACAAAGAAATACACTTATCTCCTGGAAGTTTCAACTGCATGCCTTTATTTGCAATCAATCCTGAATGTTGTTTTCCATGCTTATAATTCATTCAAGTTCAGTAGACAGCAAACCTAACAATCAGCTTCAGCATCAATTTATCCAGTTTAATCTGTAAAATGTCTGTAAAATAGTGGAAAATGACCAAGTTAATGTCATTGAAATGCTTGTTTTGTCCAGAACCAAAAGATATTTCATGAACTATCACTAAAGGCAAAATAATTTTTTATTTTTTTATTTTGTCATGATGGAAAACAGACGGAAGAAGAATTCAAAGGTGCAGATCGAAGTAGTAGATTTCACACAAGACGTAACAAGAGAGGAATGTTATCTTACAGACGCATTCTTCTGACCCTCATGATCAATAATGCTTCTTTTCTTTTCACTGTAGTCAGTTGTTTGCCTGTCTCTGTTTTCTTCTTCATGCACTCACAAACTCTTAATCTATTATATGTGGAGTTGCGAAGGCGAGGGTCATCTTAATCAACATAATGTATACTTGGTTTTAGTGCATCTTACACACAAAAATAAAGACAAATAACAGGACAGAAAGACATAAACATTATGATTCTGCATACCAATCAGCCACGTTATATTTTTAAAATGTGGTCTTCGGTAACGAGGTAGCAATTACGACAGTGAAGTCGGGCTGTTTCTGCGATTATTGTCATTGTTGTAGCTACAGACATAAACTTCTGCCTCATCCCGGGCCATTGCCTTTTTCTACCAATATGGCAGTGGATGTGAATACTCTCTCTCACACATTCACACGCACCACAGTCCAATTTAGCTGCAGTCAACACGGAGAAGACAGTTACAGCTATTAGGATTATGTCGAGGAGCGATTCTCCTCTATAATAAACTCTCTCCCTACTCCATAATAATAGCGGCCATTACCCAAGATGTATCACTGTCAATGCCATCTCAGCGGACAATAAGTGTGTTTGTGTCTGCGTAAGTGTGTTTGTGCATATGACGAGGTGATTGAGAATGAAACAATCAGCAGGCCAACACAAACACAGCTGTTTTATTGTTGCGCTGCTCAGATGTGCTTTCACAGGCTGTGTGTGTGTGTGTGTGTGTGTGTGTGTGTGTGTGTGTGTGTGTGTGTGTGTGTGTGTGTGTGTGTGTGTGTGTGTGTGTGTGTGTGTGTGTGTGTGTGTGTGTGTGTGTGTGTGTGTGTGTGTGTGTGTGTGTGTGTGTGTGCGTGCGAGATCATACAGAGCAAAGAGTGACCCCACCTCCTGTTCAGCCCCTCCTGTCCTAATGAAAAGCTTTGGCAGTGTAAGCTAGCTGCACTAGATGATCATGATTCTCCCTTTTGTTTTCCTCAAAGCATTTAGAGACAAACTTTATAGACTGTTAGAGTTTGATTGTTATTTTCTACCTGCAGTATTGGAGACTTCCTAAATTACTTAAAGAGGCACTCCAGCGATGTAGCGTCTCACTTGCAAGAGACAGAAAATGTTCAGAATCTGCGTCCAACTTACTCAATACCACTTTCAAAACTTCATCTCAGTGCGAGACCCTAATCCATCGTTTTGGTTTCAGTCGATTAGATTTCTCTGAGTTTTACAAATCAAATCAAATCAAATAATCGATTGCTGTGGACTCTTTTTCAATGCTTTTTGTAAACTGGATTATTACAGGAGCCGTGACTTTACTTGCCGTGAGTTAATTGTGCTTTTAACGTGCATTATTACATATAAATGCTATTATATCATTGTTGGATTGTATTTAAAGTTGAGCACACGTGTGTGTAGAGATGTCTTATACACATATTGCTGCCATCTCCTGTATGTGAGAGAGAGAGAGAGGGGAGAAAAAAGAGAGACATTGAGTGCTGGCACTTTATCTCATGCTGGTGATGATGGTTGGCATTGTGTGATGCCAGTTAGCATTGGGCGCCAACACACAGAGGTGTGTGTGTGTGTGTGTGTGTGTGTGTGTGTGTGTGTGTGTGTGTGTGTGTGTGTGTGTGTGTGTGTGTGTGTGTGTGTGTGTGTGTGTGTTGGAGAGGTAAGTGGTGTGAGAGGAGGACAGAAATAAAACCTACGAGAAAGGAGGCAAGGAGGAGAGGAGACAGGAGAGGAAAAAAGTTGAGGACGGGGTGAGAGAGGATGAGCAGAGGACATGTAGAGGAGGGAGGATTGGGCAACGGTGCAGACGGGCCTTGTCCCTGTGCCTTTGTGTGTGTGTGAGTGTGAGTGTGAGTCTGCACCTATGTCTTTTTGTGTGGGTGTGTGTGTGTCTGTCCTTGTGTCTTTGTACTGGCTAATCTAGGCGTCAGCAGCTTTTTGAGGCTTTTGTGCTGACAATAATCGCACAACGCTCCTCTTTTCAATTCATCAGCAACAACAACAAGGGATCACATGTCCGCCATGCACAACCCAGAGAGAGGGAGGTAAAGTGGCCATCATGTTGCCTAGTTACTGCTCGGGTTGAAGGTGATTTTCTGTGTGTGGGCAGGTCAACGCTGTCTACACCTCCGCTGAGTCGCACGGCGAACAGAAACGGACAATCACACATTTATTTTTTATTTTTTTTCAAAGAATAATTTATTTCATGTTGCAGTGTGATGGATAAACAATAAGTAAAACCACTGGTCAAATCTGTAGCAAGCATTAATAATAATCATCATCAGAATAACATTAATAGGAATAATTATTTCAATTATAAATAATAACAATATCAGAGTAATTGTTACATCTATACAAGCTACAAATATCAGCATTTTGTCCTATGTCTTTTTTTCTGCTGTTAAAACCTTAAACACTTCACACATGACCCGGCCGCTGCAGCTGCTCCTCTTGGCCCCCCAGAGCAGAGAGGAAAACCAGTTTTTCTACTGAAGGGGGGTTCAAATGGACATTTTGAAGTCTCTGATTTTATGAACTCAATTCTAAGAACGGCTGATTGTACCACCGTTAGTCGACCGTGTGTTTAAAAGTGTTAAAATCCTCAGTCAGTACATGAAAGATTGGTTAGCCCGTCCCAGAATGATCACTGTGTTTGCATCATGTGGGAATGATGTGCAGCACATGAAATTGGAATTAATAGTTTGATTTACAAAACAGTAAATCCACTTTGCAGCAACGCTGAAATCACAAATTTATGTAAATGTGATTTTTAGATTAGATATTCTGAGAAAGATAATGGACAAATGAAGCATCCAACTCAAATTATATAAAACAATTGCCAAACTTGTTATAACAGTAACATGTCATCAGTGCTGTGTCCTGACTTTATCCAGCATCAGGGCTATATATTGAAAATACTGTAAATAATAGTTTCGTTGGACAAGATATAGTTTGTCGTGGACTGGTAGTATCTAGATCTGACGGATTTAAAAAATAATTAAATACGTGTTTTTTTTGTCTTCGATGCTCTGGATGCCTGAATGCAACATGAGCCAAGAGGGGCGGCCAGGGAAGGGTGGGGCAGGGAGAGCCACACAGTCAAAACAAACACCCAGTAAGTCTCAGTACAGGAAGAAGAGGGAGGAGTAAAAAGAGGAGGGGACAAAACAACAACTAAGTTTATTCATGTCCATTTTGTCTGGGTTCAGGTGAGGATTTGGGAATGCTACTGTGCTTTCCTATTCAAGACTTGTGTAAGTGTGTGTTTGTGTGTGCATGTATATCTATGCGAGTGACTGAGGGTTCATAGAAGAGTAAGATTATACAAAGGAGAAAAAATACAGAAACATCACTTTTTTTTCTCAAAAAATGTCCATGTAACTTAAAAACATCCACAATAAAAAGATTTTTTTTATATATTATCTTTATTTTTAGTTCGATCCTCATTCACGGGCTGAGGATTGCTCCATCATCTTCCTCATCTCTACGTTCCTCCAAAGAAGGATGAAGAGCGAGCTTGGACGAGGCGGAGGAGAAAGAGAAGACGGAGGAGCTTTTCTGTAAGTGCAAGGACGTTCAATTCTCACTGTTTTTGCTTTAATTTATAAAAGTCTCACCATTGACTCTGAGCCCTCTGCCTCGTTCAAGAGGGATTTTTTTTTTTTCTTTATAAAACATTTTGAGGGCAGTTTTGTCTTTAAAAGTTGTGCTGACCAAAAACAACAATCAACAAACCTCTAGAAGCCTCCAAGTAGAACCACTTCAAGTCTCTGCATGGCGTTCTGAGCGTCTTTTTTACTGAAGACCAGTCAAAGTCGCGCTCTCTTCCAGTCTTCTCTCGGACCTTGGAGGTTTGTCCTGCTCGCCGTGTTTCCTTCCTCGCCCCAGTCAGTCGTGGAGGAGTTCTTGTAGACAGTTGGGGGATTTGAACACATCAGGGACCTCGCTGTCCAGTTTGCAGATCACCTTGTAGATGGCCTTCTTCCAGGACGGGTCTACGTCCTTTCCAGCCACGATGGCGTTGAAGAATTCACGAAGAGTCACCTGGGAAACCTCCAGAAATCGTTCAGGGACCTGACGGGTGAAAAGGGAAAGGAGGGAAAGAGGAAATCATGAGTTAAATATCCGCTTTGATTGTTGAACTGAAGAGGAACTTCCCTTCAATCACCTTCCTCTTACTTGTCCTGAATTTAAAGCTACAATATCGTATTTATGCAAAAAAAATCTGAACTGTTACTTCTGTATTAGGTTGTGTATGTTTGTGGATTTTAAAGCATCTCATTCCAAAAGCATGCACAGTAATCTGCAGCTATTTATTAACACTTTACACAAGATCCCACAATGAAGCTCGATAAGTACATAAACCTTTGTGGACAGGGGTGTCGACAAAAGTTTTTCCAAAAGGATTTTTAGGCTTTTTCATATGTGTCACAACAAGTCTTCAAATATAGACAGATTGCTTTTAGAAAAGTGATTCTGTGACTGAAACCGATCAAGACTTTGGTTAAGTGTGCCTGTGTTTCAGGTGTCCATACAGTGCATTACTATTCCTGTACCAAGTTCTTTCTCAGCTGTCAACTTCCCCTAAATGTACTTCCCCTTTCTTAAAAGCCCCCTGCTGTGTGTGTGTGTGTGTGTGTGTGAGAGTTTGTGTGTGTGTGTGGGGGGGGGGGGGGGTGTGTCAAGAGTTCCTTATGCACACGCAGGCTCACACATGTAATGACATATGACACACTCAGTCCTTGACAATGGCAGGTGAACAGTTGTCTGTGATCTGTCACTGTGTGTGTGTGTGTGTGTGTGTGTGGGAGTACAGAGTTTAAACAAGAACGAGGGGATTGCAGGGATCCAATTGTCCTTTCCACATGCATGTGTGGGTGGGGGGGATTTTAATGCTGTGTGTTTGACAGCTGAACAATGACACACACACATTTTTTTTATTCTTTTTTCTGCCCTTTCTCCCAGGGGCAAGATCATACAAAGACACTAAACAACCTGTTTGCCCTCTCTCTTTTTTCTTCTTCTTTCTCTTTTTCTTGCAGGCAGGCAGGCAGGCGGCTGACTCTTCCAGATGAGGTGCATGCTCCTATAAACCCCAACAAACTCTCTCTCTCACACACACACACACACACACACACACACACACACACACA